TCGAACAAATGCTCGGCAGCACTCATGTCTTCGGCATCGAGCTGTTTGTTCATATCGTGCAAGTTTCGCACACATATATCGAACGTGACATATTCGCTCTCATTGTGGTCGCCAATGCCATCGCCGTCGCCTTCACCTTGCCGGACTGTGACTTGTTCGAGCAGCTTGGACATGTCCAGGCCAATGGATTGTGGTGGGTGCTTGCTGACAATTAGTTCGTCGTTCGAGTCGACAACATAGAACCGATATTTCCCAGGCAATTTGACCTGACCGGCGGCCGTGTGCAACTTGACACTCAGATCGACGGTCTCCGTGAACGTAATCGATATCTGTCCGACGACTTGTCCGATCCACGGTTTGGAGAGTAGCTCAGGTCGGACTGTGTTGTCCAGGACCTTGAGTGCTTCTACCATTGTCATCGGGATAATGCCGACGTCACTTCCACTGTCGGGGCAGTATGAGACGTCGAGCACGTCGTTGATTGTTGCCATAGTCTCTTCGCCTGTACTTCCAAACAGACGCCGCATCATTTTTGGATGCTTGTCTGCGATGCGCTTCGAGTTTGCTTCTCGCTTTATCTCTTCGTCTTTCGCCCATTGCGCGGTCGCTTGGCACTTTCTTGCGTGTTTGGTGGTCTTCAGCCATTGCTTGTGCCGGGTCAAAATTGGCTTCCATTCGTAGAAGATCTTGGCTCTCTCCTCGAATGTTGACCCTGAGCACTTGTCAAAGCTGTGATCGGCTTGGTCGAATCGCAGGCATCCTGCAGGCATGGTCTCTGGCGGGTAGCGCTGTTCGATCGTATGTTTCCAACCGTCAACTCGTCCAGCAGCCGCTGCGATCTCAGGGGTGCGGGAGTACATGACTGCTCGACCGCGCTCCCGGACAAAGTATGGGCCTTCAACTTTCGTCCTCGCTGCTCCATGAGAGTGGCAGGAAATCCTCGGACGCGACAAGCTCTCTGGCTTTTCGCTTCCGATTCTCCTTCTATTGACGCTCTTCCCGATCGTACTGTCTTGCTTTTGCACGGTTCGAGAGTGGGAACGTTTAGCCTCGAGGTGTCTGTGCAACCTCTTCGCATTGAGTCTTTGTTGGCTTGCCATCTTCCTCAGCAGCAATGAACGGAAAGTACATGGACACCGAGCTTTGTTCATCACCTTTAGCTCTTTCGGCGCTGCTTTCGCGTGACCCCCACGTAGGCTTCATTTTATGATTCATGAAGGTCATTCTTTGTTGTTTCCCTTTGTATTAGGACCACGTAGAACTTGGTTCAGGGATATCTCGCCCTTTCTTTGCAA